GCACAGTGGAGCAGTAATAATGCGTTTATATATTGAAATCGTAAACTCTGTTTAAAATTGCAAAAAACGATTATCTTTATCAACAAGGAACCTTCAAAAATATGTAAAAATCAAGATTGCTATTCGCAGCGACCATTCCTTCCAATATATTCATTGTTTATACAAGTACTGATGAATACATGCAAATCGGTCATATTAGTCCTCAGAAAGCTGAAAATGCATGAAATAAGGAAATTCATGAGAATTCATGAAAATGAAATTCAGCAAGAGAATCCAAGAGAATCATTTTCCCTTTTTATCGGCAATGACCAATAGTTCCTTGTGATACATTTTTATATTCATCTCCAACTGTGAAAGGATTTCGCAAATATGCCTTTTTTATTAATTATTAGAGCTTCACTAGCACCAAGAATAAATTTTCCGAGTGATATTCGCGATCTACCTGCATTTCAGTCACGAAGTGAATCTTCAGTGATTAATTTTGCGACAAGTCATTAAAGCAAGTTCAACCGAAAATGAGCATAAGCAATTTCGTATGCATTTTTTTCTGAAGAAATGAAATTTTGAGCTTTAAACTTAATGATATTACAAGTTAGACATGATTTCATGGCAAAAAGACTGATAAAGAAGACTGACTGATAAAGACTGATAAAGAGACTGCATTACAAGAATAATGATATAAATGGAACTAGCCAGAAAATACAAACCATACGCTTGCAACTACGAACCGCCAACAGGAATAGAAATAATCTCCGTCATCCCGAAATTTGAACCCAGTAAAACTTTTGGAGATTTCTCCAGGCTGAACTCTTCAAATATTAATCGTTTATCGTAAAGAAAAAATTGATTTAAGCCAAATTAAAGAAAAAACTTTATCTCTTTATTACGATTATAAAAGATTCAATAGCACTGCACTGCCTCGAGATAATTCAATGAAAAATGTGAGTCCATTTAAATTTATGAAAATTTTGGGTGTAAAGCGAGGAAGAAACCACATTAATGGAACGAATTTGTATGCTTTAAGAAAAAGGAATCGAGATGGTAGGTTATCGAAAGTCACTCTTCACCCTTTATTTCAAGCGAAGCGAAGGTTGAATAGGCTAATCTGAGATCGTAAAATTTAGAACGCCAGTGAAATAATTTTTTCTGAAAATTTAAGCTTTCCAGCCATAAGTTTTATGATATGAGAAGTCGGAAATAATTTCAACGCAATAAGACTACTGACATTAGACGTAAATGAAAAATTATAAAATTAAATTTTTCAAATATTTTTCATATACTTCAAAAATTTAGAAATTTATGAAAATTTCTAAGTATTTATATGAGGGTGTAAAAGCAATTTTTCATCTGGTTTTAGGTGAACAAAAATCAATATTGTCATATAATTTATGGTTACTTTACGCACTTATCACCATAACCATATTTCCATATTAATTGCATCGAAAATGGAAAAAGTTGGTGAAAAAAGAATTTTCTGCGCTTTCAACTGAATATGGTTTCTTGAATTCCATTATCCAGTCTATCGCATAGTTGAATATTGAAAGCAGTATGGAAAAGAATGCAGCCTTGATGGAAATCACTGCTTATTTCGAAAGAGCCTTACCAGTTTTATCTTTTTTTCTTTGCCTTAATTACTTAAAAATTAAATTGGAAAGAGAATTATTACTATATTACCGAAATGCACTACATAGATGCCTATAGCCCAGAATTATAATTCTTATAAACTAAGCATCGCATGAAAGAAGTAAATTATCGAAATCTGTTTGCAAGGGAGAATTTAGATTTGGGAAGTGTTGAATTAGAAATATTATTAATTACTATATTTATAATTACTATAATATAATAATATAATTACTATATTATATTATTATTAAAGAAATGACAGAATTTTGAATTCGAAAAGAAACCTTTTTACTAAGTCGTTTCGAATTAATCTAAAACGAATTTTTTTTCTAAATATAAATATTTCAATTTTTTTAAATATTTTTAAATTTTCTTCTTAATTACTTACCGTTCCCAACAGATATGTATCACATAAAATATTTCGCTTAATTGTTCAATATGACTAAAAGAAGAAATTTTGTAGAAATTCGACGCTAAATTTTATAAAAATACACTTGAAATAACAGTTTTTATCGACAAAAAGAAATATAAATTAGAATTCCTATATTGAAAAAAGATAAAAAAAGTTATGATAGAGCTATTGATAATTTGAAAATTATCAATAAAAATCATAAAAATATAAAAATTATATTAAAAAAATAGTATCATAAAACATATTGCAAATATCAAATGTATCAAATAATATCTAAAAATTATGATTGCTTTATGCAACGTCCCTTAAATTCGACAAATCCATCATTACAAGCGCAGAATTGAATGCAAGCAAATCGGTTTTCCTGATCGGTGGGATTTTTCCAAATCGAAATTATTTTCATATTTCTGCCGCAAGCCAACTGAGTTTGTCGGCAATCGGAATTGTAAAATTTCTCATTAATTCTCGGCAAACTAAAGTTTCATCAAATGAGGAAATTCATGCAGTATTCATCATTAAGAGAATCAATCATTTCCCCTTTTATCGTAGCGGCAATGACCAATAGTTCGTTGTGATAAATTTTTCAGGTTTTCCTGATCGGTGGGATTTTTCCAAATCGAAATTATTTTCATATTTCTGCCGCAAGCCAACTGAGTTTGTCGGCAATCGGAATTGTAAAATTTCTCATTAATTCTCGGCAAACTAAAGTTTCATCAAATGAGGAAATTCATGCAGTATTCATCATTAAGAGAATCAATCATTTCCCCTTTTATCGTAGCGGCAATGACCAATAGTTCGTTGTGATAAATTTTTCATATTCATCTCCAACTGTGAAAGGATTTCGCAAATATACATTTTTTATTAGAATTATTTATTAAAATTTTTTATTAGAATTAATTTTCATAAAAAAGCAAGTGGCAAATGCTTACCGCGGCGCTATAAATTTTTGTATTGTTTTCTCATTGATGAGTGAATTTTCTACACATCGTCCATTATTTTCGACCGATTCACTATTGCATACACAACGCATAAGACACGAATCTCCACTATGGTTTTCATAAACTAAATCGAATACCATATTAGTTCCACATTTATTCCCAATTCGGTGACACGCATCCCAAATAATTTGTCCAAGGCAATTTCCATTTTGGCACGACAAAGGGGAATAAGCGGTTGACTGAAAATAAGAAGGTTGAAAGCAAAAATCTTGCAATTTTTCTCATTTTTAACTAAATTTTTTCTTCAGTTTTCAGTTTTTTTGTCAGATTTGCCTTTTTTTGTTCAGTTTTTTTTTGCTTAAAAATTTAAAAAATCGTCATCTAAAATTGGCTCTCGTTCAAATGATAAATTCCTTTGATTAACATGGCCAATTTCAGTAAATTCATATTTTGCTTATTCATTCAACCAATGTTCAGAAATCGGAATTTGAAAGCCTCTGTTTCTTCACGCAAATATGTCATGTAATTAATTAAAAGCACCAATTGGTGAATTTAATATAATTTCAAAGGGAACCATTCAGCAGATGCTAATTATTGATTAAATTTTTATCAATAATTTCTATCAGTAAATCAAGTATCTCAAAGAATGTGGAATGAATAGAACGAATAAAAGCTATCGAGATAAAATTTACAAAGGAGTCGCTTGGTGACAAAAATGCAGGTGAGTCGCCAGCATTTCTACAATTTTTGAAGATTTACTTATATTAGCAGCAAGCAGAACTTTTGCATAACGAAAATAGAGAAAAGAATAATTTATGCAGTATTCTATCGTTGCTTTTTCCATTCGGCGACGGTACCGAAGTTTTTTGCCAGTAGCTTATCACCACTTATCTTACCACTTAACAATCGAATCACCGAATAATTAACAATTATTGAATGTGGGTGGATGGGTAATTTTAGCTACTCAACAACTATCGATTTGAAAACTTCAGCGATGAAGGTAATAGAAAAGCAATAGTGCAAATTTTCTTAATATTAATCATAATAAAATATCAATTAATTAATAAATTTTTTAAATATTAAAATAAGTCTAAAGTCTAAAATTTTTTTAGATCAATTAATGCTTCAATAGCTTTTAAAAATTACTTTAATCGATTGTATAAGCCTAAAAAAAAATTTTGCAATTTTTGAAAATTTTATTTATAAAAATTCAAAATTTAAAAATTTTTAGACTTTTAGAAAAAAATGATCTAACTAAAGGAATTTAAAAAAGTTATTAAGTTTAAAAAATGCACACAGCAAGCGTGGATCAAGCAAAAGCCTAATCATTACTCATACACTAATTTCTATGCACTCCTGTCCAATGGAAATGATTATCACATAGTGATAAACAATGCTTATCATCACTTATCACATCTTTATTCATCTAAGAAATTTCGTAAATAAAATGGCAATTTGAGGGAAAAGTTGGTTAAAGAAATTATAAAAAAATACTTTAAAAAAATAAAAAGCAATTGTAAACAATTGCCTTGGAATAATTCATTGAATTAGATAGATCTGTTTAAATTTTGCATAAATTTTGAAAGAAATGAGCGAATTTTTGAGAAAGAATTGAGGGTTTGAGAAAGAATAATGGAGATTGTAAGGTATCTAAAAAATTATTGTCTTCACCGTTTATTTTAATTAAAGATTTAAATAGGCTAACTTGAAATTCTAAAATTCTAAAGTTACATAGTTACAAAGTTGTTGTTATAAAAACATGAAATCATGCAGGAAGAAAGGTTCGAATCAAAAAATCCATGTGATAAGCAAAGGTCTAAATTAAATGATTTCGCGGATTTCTCTTTCATTAATCGATTGTAAAATTAATAAATTTTTCTCAAACTATAACTATAATAAAAGATTAATTAAGAATAATGCGCTGGATATTTCGGCTTTGAATGAAAGCACAATTCAGTATAAAAACTTACCTTATGTTTTGATGAGGGCTGAATGCTTGAAATCGGAACTCTTTCATGAATAACTCTTACACATTGGCCGCTTTTTTCTATGAAATAATTATTATCACAGCTACAGCGCATTATGCATTTTCTTAACCAGATTGCGTCGCTCAAAGAATCCAATTTGCCGATTAATTTAAACACCATATTAGTACCACATTTCGTTTCAGTTTGTATGCACGAAGAGGCCACAACAATTTCTCCAAGAGCATAGTTCTCCTGCTTGCACTATAAAAATTATTTTCTTGAAACAAGTGGTTTGGTTCTATTTATTTTCTTAAAGCTTAAAGTTTTCTTTTTTGAAGAGCTCTTATCACTTCTGATTTAACGATTTTAGAGGGCTTTGGGCCATTGCCGGGGAAATAACTTTGCTACAGAAATATAGGTGGGCGGTACCACCAAAACCACTCAATATTTTTCAAGGATTCAAGCCACATAATCATTCTACCCTCTCTCGCTCGCTAAAAATACTCGTTAAAAAACTCATATTAACTTCTTGCACTATAAAAACTTGCGAAATTAATGATGCAGGTGTTTTTTACTTTTCAACGATATCGTGAATGCCGTCTATATTGCGTAAGAATCTACATATTGTAGTATGTATATTTCCAACATTCACCCTGGCAAAATTTTATTTTACCTTCGCTTCTTCATTAGGGACTTTTTTAATACATTTGCCACTCTTTTCAATGAAATTGTTACTGTCGCATTCGCAACGTAAGAAGCATTTTGTTAAACGATGAGCGCCATTCGATTTCAGTTCAGAGATAACTTTAAATTTCATATTAGTTGCACACTTCATTTCCGCTCGTTTACATCCATAGTCTACAATAGTTTCACCAATAGTGCAGTTTTCTTTTTTGCACTGAAAATCATCATTTTATCATTATCATTTATCATTTATCATTTTTTAAATTACCAAGTTTTACCAAGTAACCAAGTTTTTTCCCTTGTTTCTCGCTTAAATTTCCAGATCTCCTTTTTTCTATAAATTCAGTTTCTCGATTAAGAAAATTAGATTTTTTAACTTCTATGATAGATCTGAATTAATTAGTTGATCTCTGACTTCGATAGATAGTTGGACCACCTTTTGCCTTTGTTTCATTGCACACCGTCGTATTTTCTCGTACCGATTTTATTATAGTATTACAAATCTAATTGAAGAACTCCAATACTTCAGCCTCACCTCGGAATATTGCGATTGCACGCTGTCTTGCGGGTTTTTAATATGTTCTTCATTCATTTGGATGAATTCTGCATTTGCACAAATACAATGCAAAACGCACATCGTCATATTAACGTTCCGCGGAGAGTGCAATTTAGTGAAAATTTTATAAATCATGCCAGTTCCACAACTCTTTCCCTCAAGATTGCAATTCGCCACAACATTTTGGCCGGAAATGCAAGGTCGTCCTTCGTAACTGCCAGCGATTTTTACGAAACCCTTAAATAAGCTCTATGAACATTTTTTATTAATATTAGTCAGGAAGAGAAGGAAAGAAAATTTTAAATTTTTGAATTAAATCTAAATCTGATTGCTGAACAAAAAATATAAATAATATAATAATAATAAAATGAAATAACAATAATAAATAATATAAAAATATAAATAAAAACATAAAAATATAAAAACAAAATATAAATGGCCTTAATTTGTGTTAAAACCTTTTTTTCTTCAGCGAAAAAAAGATGAAATTTCAAAACTCAAAAATTTTTTTAACGATAGAATGGTTCAATGGATTATTGAAGGTGAATCGGGACACTAATGCTGGAGCTTTACTAGCAGCAAGAATAAACTTTCCGAGTGATATTCGCGATCCACCTGCATTTCAAACACGAAGTAATTGCTCAATTAATTTTGCGGTAAGCTAGCAAAGCATGGTTAACCAGTTTAATCAGAAATGAACCTTCTGATAAAAAAAAAATTTTGCACGTGTTTTTTTTGAAGGAATGAAATTTTGGGGCATAGACTTGATGATATTATAAGTTGGAAATGATTTCATGGCAAAAGGACATTGTATCGTATTAATCATATAAATGGAACTAACCAGAAATACGATACAACTGAAAATCATTGAGTTACTCTAATAAAACTTATATTTAAAATGTTTCAAATTTAGAAATTTTTAAATATTTAAATGAAACTACAAAACTAATTTTTAATCTGATTTTCGGCGGTCAAAAATTAACATTTATGATTGCTGTATATGATATATGCAATTATCGCCATGATTAATTAATTCTATATTAATTGTGTATAATAGAAAATGCCTAAAGTTGGTGAAAAACGTTTATGAGCAATAATTTCCTATCGTTGAATTTTTTGAGAATTAGTTCAGAGCACTACTAAAGCAAGCTTAATTTTATTTCACAATTAAAATACTGAAGCAGTGATAAGCGATGATAAACCATCCAATATTATCAGAAAAAAGAGCATCGCTCTACAACATTTTCTTTTCCGTATTATAACAAATTTACCTGAGAAACAAGATAATATTATATATAACAAAAGTCTCCTAATTATATAAAGTCTCCATGTTCTATATTTTTTCTTTTTTGTATTCAAACCTATTTTTTTAAACTTATTTTTTTAAACTTATTTTTTTAACTCTTACCATTATGCTGGTCCTACTGGCTACAAGAGAGTAAGGCATTTTCAAGAAATTCCATCTTATACCACTGTTTCTCCTATTGGCTGGGATGCCTATGTGTTCAAAATCTCTCCTGGTTGAATTAAGTCCTAAATTAATTAGTCCTAAAGTCTTTGAAGTCTTTACAAAGCTCAACAAGATAAATGAGCAGCAAATATCAATTTATTTAATGTGAAGATTGATATTGCAAGATTTAAACCACCCTACCCATGAAATATGCCCAAGAGTACCTACAATGGGCTTATCAAACGTTTTTATAGCTTTTTAACTTAAAGACCATGTTTTCAGCCAACTTGATTGCACTACAGTCAAGTAGAATACGTTCGATAGTGATTTAGCGGCGATTCCAGTGGCATTTCGTCACATAGTACACATTTTTAATTGCATTCGAGCTGCAATAAAATCTACCATTTTCTCAAGTTATGATGAACAAAATAAAGTATTTCATAAGCGCCTGGCATACTCTAAAGCGATCTGAAATTATTTGTTTCTGTAATATTTCACAGAACTTAAATATAAATATTTTTAGATTTTTTGAAATTGTTAAATTATTTTAAATTATAATAAATTAAAGTTATAAATTATATAAGTTATAAAAGTTATAAATTATTATTAAAAAAATCAGTATTTTTCTTTATAAATGAAGCTAATCTTTAAAAAAATTACGAAAATATAGGAAAATACGAAATTTACTTATAAAAAATTGTGTTTAACGAACGAACAAAAAAAAATTTTAAATTTGAAATATATAAATCATAAGAAAATTTTTATAAAATTAAGAAGTTAAAATTATTTAATAAAAAACTATTCAGGAATTATTATTCCAAAAATTTGAAGAATAAATTTGTATAATTTATAAAATTTGTATAATTTGTATAATTTAAACTTCAGTGTAATTCGTCAGTGCAATAAATTAATTTTCCTATTTTTAAAAATTTTTCTACGAAAAAATTCTTTTTTTTCTTTCTTTTCTTATTCTTTTTTCTTTTCCTCTAAAAAGAAGAAAAATATTAATTCGTAAAATTCATTTTTCAACAATATTCTTCCTGCAGAATATTTTAGTTAATTGCTTCATTGCCTTTTTCCCAAATTTTTCTTTTCTTACCAATAACCTTTTAAGAAATGAATTTTTATTACTAATAAATAATTTGAATTTTATGATTTTCTTTTTTTTTCATTCATTTAAGACAATTAACTGTTTATTGCACGCTTTGTTAACGTTCTGTAAGAAAATAGCGAGGAGAATAATTTTCTAAAAAAATTTCAGTAGATTTTTATTCAATAAATAAATTTTCATGAAAAAAATTGATATTTTGCGTCAGCGTGTCCATAATTAATGCATGCGTCGGTTGAATTCACTGATTATAGTATTTGGCAATTTTAGTTTTCATATCAGTTTTCATATACAAACATCAATTGTTCATTGGCTTTAGATCGTTAATTGTATTTGTTTCTAATCCATGTGAATCCATGTGAAAAATCACTCATCGTGGATCATTTTAAATTGTGCAGCGATGATGCGAAATTCATTATTGCAAATATTATTGCTTTTTATGTTTGCAGAAAGAAGGTTCAAATAATAACCGTTGAAAGGACTATAATAAAAAAACAAAAATCTTGCATTTGAACTGCAAAAAAACCTCTTCTAAATGGCTTTTGACGAAGAAAAATGTGGTCTGCAATTAGTGATTTTTTATTTTATATTTTATTTCTTTGTATATTTATGTGGAAAAGATTGGAAAAAAATCATTGCTATTAATCTTTATGATATTTTTTATAATAATACAAAAGAATTAAGTAAGAATTAGGAATTTAAAATACTAAACGAACATTAAAATTTAAGAAATTTCAAGA